ATATTTGATCATTTGATTATTTGATTATTAATATATGATCATTTGATTATTTGATTATTAATATTTGATAATTTGATTGTTTGATCAATATGCTTATTTTTCTACAGAGCGGCCCTCGTTAAAGTGACTGCTGTAACTTGTGAGTGAGCTCTTTGTGTTTAGAGGAAACAGACCGTTTGTGTTACTGAGACCAGGAGAGAAAGACAAATCAAGTTTTTGAACTGTTTGTGTTTTTTTAGTTTTAGTAGATGTTTTACGGCGCTCGCCACTGCATAAGGTCATGTGAGTGCCAGAAGATTAGGAAATTCGTGTAAAGTGCCTTTCCCAAGGACTCAACGTCGGGCCCTTGACGGGATTCGAACCCACGACCTTACAGTTGCGAGTCCGAGAGCCTAACCACTAGGCCACCGACGCCACAGGTAAGTCATTCTTGGCAACTTTTGAGACACGTCTGTATGTAATACTGCCCTCGAAACGTAGTTCTCTACAGGACACAGGGAGTATTGAGTGACCGCGACAGTACACTACAGGACACAGGGAGTATTGAGTGACCGCGACAGTACACTACAGGACACAGGGAGTGACCGCGACAGTACACTACAGGACACAGGGAGTATTGATTAACCGCGACAGTACACTACAGGACACAGGGAGTATTGAGTGACCGCGACAATGACCAGGCCAGCACATATTATCAAAGAATGCACACACAGCGAGCAGCTCCTAGTCAAACAGAAGAGACCTTGCACTCACTGACCCTCCACATATTGACTGACAGTGTGACCAAACTCTTGTGGACATACACCACGTTAGGATACGGAATAGACAGACCAAAAAAACAACAACAAAATTATGAATAAAGTTACAAAACCAAAAAGGCATGAGATATCACACGAACTTCTGCCCAGGAGTAAACAAGATGGGAAAACAGAAACCAGACATTGATGGGGGACACGAGCACCGAGTATAAGCGACACTGTCAAAGACAACCACCCAATGCTTCATACCTCCCTAGCTCAAGATCCAAATATCAGGATTTTTAAAAATGATTTTGAGTAATTTGAGACAATGAGTAAAAGAAAAAAATATTATTTTGAGAAATTTGAGACACCGCAGTGTAATCATGCACACACTGGCAGATTTCTGGGTGCTCTGACTCGGACAAATTTCGCGCACTCATCAAGAAGAGACCTGATCCGGATGTTGCCAGTTAATAAAGGGCCTATCACACATGCGACGTGCGCGCAGCACTGCAGAGTGAAGGGGAGATCATTGTCATTCCAAATGAGCCCAGCAACAAGCCTAGTCCAAACATAAGCCGGGATTGCACTTCCGTCATTTGGCGTCGATATAAGAACATTTTACTGACTTCAAACTGGCTAGTTTGTGGGTGGAAAAGTGCGTAATTTCCCCCACATGTGCGTGCTTCCGTAATCGGGACCTTTTTTTGTGTGAAATAATGACTCAAAACGCGTAGAACTGGGGAGGTATGTTGTGTGTGAGAAAACTCACTGTCCTAGGTGACTGTCTTATCGTGTCACTATAGTGTTGAACAAATGCAAAGGGTGGGGGGTAGGAAGAGGGTGCTTGCACAGGTGGTTGTCTGCTATAGGTGGGTGTTAGGGTAAGTTCCACTACTTTTTTAGCACCTCAAGCCTCACTATAAGTTGTGATGTAAAAACTGGACGATGGTGAAAACTTATTGGAAAAGTTGTAACGTAAGAACTGGACGATGGTGACACTTATTAGAAAAGTTGTAATATATAAACTGGGCAATGGTGACACTTACTGGAAAAGGAACTGGAATTGAAGTGGAAGAGAGAGGACTGGTGTCCTTGGGCAAACGGCATCTGCTGAGGCTGCTGCTGCTGCTGCTGTGGCTGTGGCTGCGGCTGCTCCCCCATGGGAGGCTGCGGGGACATCATCTGGTTGGGCCCGCTGTTGTAGTAGTAGCCAGGGCTGTCTGCTTATGGGGGCGGGGGTGGAGAGAGGAACAGCTTTGATAATGGTCGTGAGGGAGGGAGGGAGAGAGAGAGAGAGAGAGAAAGAAAGAGAGAGAGAAAGAGAAAGAGAGAGAAGGGGGGGTATATGAAGGGGAGTTGAAGAGAGAGATATATGGAGGTGGAGGGTCGGACAAAGGTACAGCTTCGATACAGTCATAATAAGGAAAAAGAATGAGAAAAACGTGTTTGCTTGTCTGTTAGTATCAAACCTCAGGAGAAGTCAGTTAAACTATAATAAGAAAATATGCGTGTCCACAGGGCTATTTTTTGACAAACGGGGTGAAAAGGTTAAAAAAGTCAATGTTAAAATTTAGTTTGATCAGAAAATACACATGTAACCATTTCCTAATAACATATTGAAAGGATTTTACAATATCTTGAGTCTAAACATTTTTTGATTAGTTCTTTTTCCAACATGTATTTCATAAAAAGTTTCAAATGTGTAAAAAATTTGGTTTTTCTCCAAACTTTGTATTTACACTTTATTACAAAAAGTGACATATATTTAAAATGCACCCAAGATATCAAAAAAATTAAAAAACTCAACTTATAATCTAAGATATAACGATGGAAAAGAACCGTTTGCTATCTGATCATTTGGAGCCAAGAACAGCATGCACTACAATAAAGGACGGTTGATGATAAACTTTCTGTTTGTCTGTCTGTTCGTTTGTTTGTTTATTTGAGTCAAGAGAAGCTCATCGACACAATAACTGTCATTTAGTGCTTAGGGAAAGACAGACAGACAGACAGATATAACAGGCAGACAGACAGACAGATACGACAGAGGGACAAAAAGACAGAATGACAGACAGACAGACAGACAGATAGACAGACATATATAACAGACAGACAGACAGACAGACAGATATAACAGACAGACAGACAGACAGACAGACAGACAGACAGACAGACAGACAGACAGACATAACAGACAGACAGACAGACAGACAGACAGATACGACAGAGGGACAGAAAGACAGATATGACAGACAGACAGATATGACAGACAGACAGACAGACAGACAGACAGACAGACAGACATAACAGACAGACAGACAGACAGACAGATACGACAGAGGGACAGAAAGACAGATATGACAGACAGACAGATATGACAGACAGACAGACAGACAGACAGACAGACAGACAGACAGACAGACAGACAGAC